GCTGCCGTAGCTTTGCGCTTAGAGGAAGCGTAAGTTAGGTCACCGATCTTTCGTTCTATACTTAAAACAACTACGAGTTTAGCGAATCGCAATTCGCTTACCCCGAGAGTAATTACAACCTTAACCCAAGGCCAGTTAACTCTTCCGTTTGAATTCAGAACTGACTTTATTTATTTTTATCTGCGGCAAAGCCGCCTAATTTTAAATGCATAGATTCTTCAAATATGTATAGTAAAATCTAAATACATGTATAACTACTGGTTATCCAGCCCCGTACCATATTCTCGTGTGGGTGTGGTCACACCATACCCATCTGGTGTGACACACACACTGTTACCAGGGTATGTGTAACCTCGTTACACGCAGTTTATATGCATACAACAATTTGAACGCCAGCATATACCCCTGTTCCTTGCAAGATTACCTTTATCAACAAGATGAATGTCTCGAAATGTTCTAGCAAACTTGATCTAATAGATGACTCCTATCAAGTTTTAATGGATCTTATATCGATTACGTATACGGCAATTCGCACACCCAGCGGTATGCTATGGGAGTGACATGTGATGCCACAAAGACTCCCCAATGCACCAGCGAGGATTAGCGTCCCGTAACGCATTTATTCCGATCATTGCGATCGTTTGTGTCGACTTATTCTGACGATATCTTTGTCCATTTAAAACCTGAACCAGGCTATTCTATCGATCACGTTCATCGCAAACACCTGGAACCGATAGTGGCGTGCATGACAGAACATCAGCTCTTTGCCAACATTGATACATAGAATCTCGGCGTCGAAGAATTACTATTTTGGGTCGTTTTATCGGCGTCGACGGTGTTTGGGCAGAATCAACGAAACCAAAGCAATCTCAGAATGACCGACGCTAACTAACCAGAAGGATTTGAGATAATGGTTAGGTTTGGCCGACTATCTTAATCGGTATATTACATATTATGCCGATGTGGCACGCCCATTATCGTACTTGTTGAAGAAAGATCAAGAGTAATTATGGACAAATGATTATGCAGTCGACTTTGACGATATCAAGCACAGCTTGTAGGCAGAGCCTATGTTAGCGTAACCAAATGACCCATCACCGTACAGTGTCGTGCGCGACACCTCCAACCTAAGGATCAAATGTACATTACTGCAGTAAGATGAAAATTGACATTAACGTGCCATCTCGTATCAGTCGAGACAGCTAAGTGCAGTTGAATAGAAGGACCCTGTTCACGACAAAGAATGGTTAGCAATAAAGTATGCTTTGATGAAGTTAATACTTCACCTCTTGGGGTCCAAGTCTTTCGTCGTTTATACCGACCACATATCGCTGCATACAGCAGCCCAAACGCTACATTTGTCACAACAGATGACCCACCCGTTTGTTGTCATTATTTGTAGAATACAACTTAACAGTGGCTTATTAGCCAATCAAATTGAACGTCTTGGTGGATCCTTTATCTCGGCGCCCCAATAAAGGATTATCCGTGTACTTCCAGCGTACAAAAAGCGGTAGTAAATGACCCAACTGTGCTTTTGTGGTTGAAATTACTTATAATTTAGTCTTACCGACATTATTTCAGTGACATCGCGGTCGAGCTGATCGATATTCTTTCGTGGGGAATTTTGTACTACCAAGTACACGAAGGAGATGACTCTCGGGTTGTTGTACCCGACAACCAAGACTTGAAGCACATATTGATGTATGAAGTACACGATATGCCTATAGCAGGTCACCTCGGTCTAAAAACGACTTATGCAGCGCTTGCACACCATTTTTGGTGGCTCAGAAAGTTTGTGTTGGTTGAGAAGTGCTTTCGTACGTGTGACATGGCAGCGTGTGAAGAACCCTGCAAACTCGCGAGCAGTGCTCTAGTGTATGAGCTGAATCAAGCTGTGCGTAGATATAAATAAGTGAGTCGTCGGCGCTGACGAAATCTGCTTTCTGTGTTTCTCCTCCATTGTAAAGCCGTTGTTAAAATCTTTCACCGCATTGCCTTACCCCGAAACTTGATGTATCACAGCACTGACCCACATAATGCTCAGTGAGTAGCGGTGCTCGTACTGAGGACAGAATACTTCACAAGGCACATGATACTTGTTTAGATGACCACCTCAATAATAAAACAATACTGCTCGGTGAGTGCCGCGTATTGGTGGCTCAACTCGTTCAAATGGGTAAGCAAATACGTGCACAATGTAAAATGTGTCAATGGAGTAGAAACTCGCCGCATGCGGTGCTACCATCGACCAACCTGCCGAATCAAGCAAAGTGCTGGCAGTCCACAAGTTTGGACATTTTTAGATCTTTTAAAAGACTCAACTGTGGTCTTGGCGGGTCGTCTTGTGCCAGTTGGCTTACCTTGCTGCTGTCAGCAATAGTAATTATCAACCAAAGCGGTTCTCGACAAAATATTAACATGATTTTGCCGGTAGTCATTGTATCAGATAGATTATCGCGCTTGATAGCAGAATAATCTAGCAAACGTTGTTTGAGATAGATGATATATGTTTACGGCTGATCACCTGAAAACAGAGAGTCAGAAAAAATGCGTGCACCGCGATGTGAAGGATATTCTCCGAAGCACCTGCATGGAGGTCCGGGATGCAGGAGCGAGTTTCTCCCACTCATTAAGTTTGTGTTGGATAACTTGCACATGCTGCTATATGCAATTTTCACACGGTGTATTGGGCTGCGCTTAGCCATACATGAAGGCACATATATACCTTCTGTATGCAGTGTGCAATTTATATGAAGAAAATTACAGTATGGTGTTCCCATATGCATATCTGGCATCCAAGACGAAATCACAAGCAATCTGTGTGATACAGAATGCTGGCTCTTACTTGGGGATTTGTACTGGTACTGGTGATGAGACCGACGTATCTCTGTCTTTTGAAGGGGTTGGCGTAAGCCGATCACTCCTACTACATACGTTTTTAGAAAATTGGAGTCCACACTTTTCGGAGTTCAAGCTCGTACAGCCACCATCTCCTATAAGTTGAGAACCAATCTTGGTGCACTCTAAATAAACCCTAGCTTTTATCAATAAAGCACTAAGAGTCCTTCGGCTGTCGTGCATTAAGCTCGTGAGATCATGAAATCTTTTTAATTTTATTGCAAATTTGCCTGAAAGCCCTTGAGTCACTCCAAGTCTGGACTGTCTTTCTACCTCCATGTCCGGAATCGCTTCCTTGTCACACAAGTGTGTGTGTAGTGTTTGTGAACAGCGCCCTCTTACACGTAGATGGTTCTGTAAACTTCGAGTGCCTTTGACACCGACATGGAGTGACGCCGGGTTTAATGTGGGTGGGCATGTCGATAAAATCGACTAGCTAAATTCAGCCGCTAACACTTTGTAGTAAAGTCTGATTTATCTCAGAGGCTGAGCGTCATGCGCAATGGTGCGCGACGCTGTTGCGACGAGCCAATTGATTTGTAAACAATCTACCGATTTCAGAGATAGGCAAGACACACATGAATAAAGTATGGGGCAAAAAGCGTTATTGAAAGAGACTAACATGTCTACTTGCAGAGTCTGTGGCCCACAAGATTGGGCTGCAACCACGCTACATCGGGCTGTCCAGGGTTTAAAACGAATTAAAATATGCTATGAATATCCCGGAGAGTATGCGAACACGTCTAATTTTGGAAGTGGCGTTTTTACGAGCTAATTGGATATGAATAAAATTATTGAAGATGGAACAATGTCTGTTATTTTTCTTGTCGCTGATTCAAATCTGCTTTGAAGGAACGCAGTGGTTCTGAGCCACTGGGGTGCCTCAAGCCACGCACTGCCATGAAAAGATCAGAGAGCAAAACTGCGATCTGGCTTGTCTTGTTTTAGGACGCATGTTGTGACTATCGAAGAGTGTCTACGTGCTGCCTCAACTAGGAGAGCTTACAAAAATCAGCCGCTTGAGAGTCGACTACAATCGGCATTTATCAATGTGCAATGGGTAGGATCTACAGCGAAATATGCATGACCCTGGCTCAGGAGCTGCTACAGCTGTCTCATAGAGTCAAGCGGAATGGAAACAGCAGGAACTAGAGGTGGCAATTAGTGCTTCGATGTCTGCGTTATGCTTTGTAACATGCAAAGTCAATCATGACTGACGCTCAAGAAGTGCAATTGCTTGGTTGAGGCCGACCTATATAGCTAAGCTCATCTCTTGCCAGCTTCAGATACCCAGAGTCTTTGCTTCACGGAGGGTTCGAATGTCTTACGATTTTGCTGCTGTATGTGCAGGTAATACTCCTGATGAGTGATCATCTGTGGGCTGAGAATGCTCTCGCAGAACGAATATCTTGCGCTCGCCTCTCTTTTGGTTTGGTGAAGACCCGCACGGTTAGGCGTGTGAGAGCTTCAAACCTGGACAGCAAGCAATTTAAGTTGATTTGAAACTGTGATGATCTGGGCAAGAGTTGCTCTGATGATTTGGACAGGGGTCAGTGCGACTCTAACACTCATAGTAGAGCAAAGCTGGTCTCGTTGAATTAGGCACGGCTTGTTGGTGACAAGCTCGTCCTGAGATCGGGGTTAGGGTGTCGCATCCCTTCCCACTAATAAAAGAAAGCTATGATTACAAGACTTGTGCAGCGTGCCATGAGCTATTCCGTTTTGATGATAGTTTGGCTGTGTGCTGCTGGATGAAAGCGGATATGCTTGGTCAGAACGTCACTGCAGCTGTGCCATCGGAGATGACCTCTGTATTCTAATCAAACTACTTAGTTCGTCGGTCTCCAGGACCACGTTTTTTGTGAGCTCGTTAAGTCATTTGTTTGGGTAAACGAGAGGGGACGCCGGTGCACATATGCTCTGTAAAGCAGGCACGGTAAAATGGAAAGGGTGGACTTAGACTTCAGGCGCCGAGGCTTGTGAGGTAGTCATGTTACGCAGTGTTTTAATAAGACAAAAGAAGGGTGAACTTAAAGCGGTCCGTTTCATAGTGGGTACAGTGTGATGGGCAAGGACTCTAATTCTGTATACTTGCACCTTTCACTTTTGGTACAGTACATTTGTACAATTTCACATTGTATTCGGGTGTAATTGAAATATTCATACGAACCAAAGTATCCCCTCGAATCGACGAGCAAAATTTTGCACATGTGATGAGGCGTAACTCTGGATTGAGCGCTCGTCTTTTCGCGCACAGGATGCATCCACGCACGGACTTGAATGCAAAGCTCGCGGGTCAGCAACGAGTTTTGTGTGAGCGAGAAGCCTGTTAGTATCCAACATAGGGCGAGGGAATATTTGTTGCTTAAAATGATATTAGTTTTTATCAAGTGGTCAATAAGACTGTGCCAAATAGCATCTATTTTAAAAATAACTGAATATCCATGAAGTCATAAATTATCCAGGCATTTTGCATTTTGAAACATGAGGTCAGTGCTGTCACGACCTCTGCAGCGCGTGTTGTGGAGCAGCCCATCGCGATGGTTTTCTACTGTCAAAGTGACGCACGATACAGGTCCCTCCGATTTCACTATCACACCGATCGCGGCTAGAGTGCGTCATCTACCTGCAACAAGATTTCCTTTAAAACTGATTTTCTGGACATGTCATTAGAAACTGGTTGAAGCGGCCAAACAGCAAAAAGCGGATAATCTAATGCTGCGCGTCGCTGTGGAGGGTGGAGGCTGCTCCGGTTTTCAGTATGTGATTCAGTTTGAAGAGGGAACTACGTCTGATGAAAACGAGGATGTGATCTTTGAGCAGCACGGGGGTAAAGTTGTGATAGACAAGGAGTCGCTAGAACTCATTCGAGGCAGTACTCTTGACTATGAACAGGAGCTCATTCGCAGTGCTTTTGCTGTAATCAACAATCCTAACGCAGTAAATGGTTGCGGCTGCGGTACGTCGTTCGACCTCAAGGAATAAGTAATTTACGCACAATAAAATATGATTTTTTTGGTCCATGCTAATCTTACTCCCACAAGGCCACCATACCGTTCTTATCACATGAAGCAGCGCCTTGGCCGTCAGGACGCCAGACGCAGCAAGCCACGGCACCGTAATGGCTTGTAGGTCCAGGTGCAAGCTGCGTCTCAACTTTTCCAGAGCCTACATTCCAGATAAAGATACAACCAGATGCACCACCAGCAAGAGCAAAACGTCCATCAGGGCTTATTGAGGCCTTTCCCCAGTCAAACCCGCACTGATATTCTTTATGCTTCAGTTCACGCAAAACCCCGTAAGTCCGAGGATCGATGACCTTTAAGGTATGGTCGCGAGAATTCGTAAGCAAGTTGTTGCCACCCAAACTCACCGATGTTATCTGCTCTGTGTGAACACATGGAAGCTCCTGTACGCAACGTACTACCCTCGTATCCCAAAAGCGGACTGCGCCATCTTGATGCGCACTCGCGAATTGAACGAATGCTGCATCAGTTCCAGAGGGTGCTGCAATATCGTTGCAGCTTGATACGCAGCTTACCGTCTGCAGCCGCACGCCACGCATGATATCCCATACACGTAGACTGCGATCTGAAGAACCAGTGATCACTTGGTGTGGCACAACAGGCGAAAATTCGGCCGCAAGCACTTTGCCTTTGTGCCCTGTCAGTGTCTGCGAAACGCGTCCAGTACCTACTCTCCATACGAAGCATTTCCGATCGCACCCTGTCCCCAACACAAAACCACCATCCTCTGATGCTCTTACACAAAGTAGCGGGTGAGCAGTACCCACTCCTCTGTACTCTCCTAGTGCTCGTGGAGGCGTCAATTGTGATCTCTCCGCTTCCCAAGCTCTCACGGTCCCATCACTGCTACCACTGAATAAAATTTTGCCTGATGTATTAAAGCACACGGAGTTTACCTCTGTTGCATGAGCGCGTATGGAATGCGTCACGTGAGTCACAAGCGTGGTTTGGTTTCGAACACCCTGTTCTTCATCCTCGTTCAGCACCACACGACCCAGACTCTCTGCTGCTTCCTGTGTAGCCATTGCCACCATAGCAGGCGATAGATGTCCTAAGCTTTTCTCTTCACTAGTGGCCTGAACCCATTCATGCAGTAACGAGCTTTTCTCCTGCGTCTCTAATTCGGCGTTTCGCTTCCTAAGTTTGACCCCTTCAGCCTCACTCTGTTCCAGCAGCATCCTGTGCCTAGCCAATTCATCTTTAATTGTTAACAGCGTATCGTTCAGTTCGTTTATCGCTACATCCTTCTCGTGGCTAAGCATTATCTCCTCTTCCAATCGCTTAGTCATCATCAGCAGCTGCTGCTCCCACTGCTCACGCTCTTGCAGCAGTGTCTTGCTCTCACTCACCAAAGCCAATTGCTGACCTGCATAGCTTGCCAGCTGTGCATTTTTATCTGTCAGCTCTCGCTCAAGTCTCTGAATTGACGCAAGGTACCTCTGCACCGTCGCATCGTCTTGATCCTGATGACCTGGAAGCCGCTGAGACGCACTCAGAGATGACGAGCTCGCATACAACGCAGAGCGGAAAAGGAGTTGTTGATGCGATGTAATTAAGTCACTGAATGCATCTACTTCACGCCGATTGCGGGTCTCCAGTAGACGCAACGCGTCCGATGAGAACCATGAGGAGCAAGTCATGCTTTTGAAGAGCAATTATGTTACTTCGACAATAAAATAAAAGATTAAAATTCAGGCTTGTCATATCTTATGGCAGTGCTTGCGCTAATAGAGTGCACAGCAGAGTATTCACTGCCACTATTATTCAAAGTACCAACACCGTCTTTAAGCATGAAATTACTGCATGGCTGAGCACTCCAGCATCGCAATGACTCTCCGTTCCCTTGATATAGCTGCGATATAATGGTGACGAAGTGCTTATTAACTTCTCAGATCTCATAGTCGCGCTTGCCAAGCCCCGACCACAAGTCAGGCGTCAAGCGCATGGTCGGTCCCAATCGTGTCACTCGTTGTTTCAGCTCGCTCACCACCAGATATGACTTGTGTTGCCGTTAGTGCTTCGATGTTTATGCAGTGTTTGTGATGATAATTGCTAGTTGAAAACGATAGTGTGCCATTTGATCGAGTCAGATTGGTCGCGATCTACACTGTACAGGAATAAACTCAAGATACTTATCGCTGAGTTGGATTGCGACGCGTGATAAATCATCTAGACCATAAATGTTCAATGCGTGCTTTTAACTGCAAATGCTTTTAACTTCGCGTGCGACACAAAACGAAAGCAGAATAGGGTTCGACTTCTTGTCATTTCTGTCATATCACAAAAAACAGCAATCATCACAAGCTACATTTTCACATGGTTCCCGATTTGATCGTAGTATGAACGTGCTTCGAAACACCAAAAAAATGACCTCATGTTGTACGGTGTCAATATTTACAAGCTATCTTGTGTGTACCTTAGCCTAAATTTATCAGTTTCATGAAGGTGCAGTCCACCATCCGTTTAGTTTGATCCAATGTCAATGAAGTCAATAGCAGGGTAGCAAATTTCATTTATGATTCTCTCCACACATTCGTTCAAGTATACACGCCTCTAGGAAGATGTCAATAATTTAGTTGGGCGTATAGCGAGTAATGATACTAATTTGCATTCATTACTCTTCTTCATGATCAAATCTTAGTTAGTGCTGCAATTGTCATGTACACCCCAGCGACAACGTCTTTGCTAGCAGTAAGGTCTAAGTCCTGTCCCAAAATTACCTCATGCCTTAAGGCCAACTCCAAACTACGCGTATGGATGCACACAATTACACCAACGTGCAATGTTAATTTCATACAATCATACAGTATTGTATTTAAGGTGATCGTTCCAAGATAATCAGATTCAAGTATACAAAATGAATGATCGAACCAAATTATCAATACAAAATGCAGCTACTTGTTTTATTAATGCTTCATCAGTTTGAAGGTAAGCCGCTAACGCCATAATACTGCTACTTAAAAAAAGCGGATTTATGCTGTATAGTAAATGCAATTAGATTGACACGAGTGTCGTATCACGAAGTGCACAGAATCATCAGTTCGCCGTTAAACCGACACCAACGATGTGAATCACACTGGAATTTACAATTTTTACGATGGTGCGCAAATGTGACTGCCCCACAAGCAACCACAACGCTTGATGCCTGTGACTACCCTTTTATTTCACCGTGCTTAATCCTCAGAGCGTATTTGCGTCGGGGCCATTAATGAACTCCCAAACCAATGTTACAACGATTTGAGATTGTGCTGTTCTCAGTACCGATACATAACTTCTCTGTGAGGACACCAAAGCTTTTTCCAATGACACGGCTGCAATCACTTCCCGAGTCACAATAACGCACATAGCTTCCATGCAGCGATAAACGGCCAAGCCATTATCGTAGAAGGAGGCTCTCACGACACCCATCCTCCGCGCTACATGAGTCTCGAGCTCGTTGCTCTCTTTCATTGGCGGGAAAGGTTGCCGCACCCCGTCGTTGATCTCAAGACGATGTTCAGTTCACTACCAACAAGCTGTGCCTGGTTCAACAAGTCTAGCTATGCTCTACTACAAGCGCAAGTGCCGTGAAAACTCTCTTTTCTTTTCTTGCTTCGAACAAACTATAGTTAATCACGAGGGTAAAGCTTTGACCGGCCGGAGTACCTATGAGTA